TTGGCCGCCCTGAGGGCGGGTGGGAACGCGGTCGAAGACGCGTCTGCTGTGGCAGATATGTCGATATCGAAGGCTGGTGAAAAAGAATGCGCACTCTCCCCTTTATTATCTTCTTTTTATGTGATTTACAAAGGATGCATGACCGAAATGCAAGGCATGATAACATAGTAACCTTTTTTGGATGCAACCTTGTGGTAATTAGCCGCGGAACCTCACTTAAATACCAGTCTCGACTTGAATGTAGGCTCTTGTCGAAGTCAATAAAATGTCTTGCAAGTTTCGGCGTGGCCTGTAATCACCTACGAAACAGGCAAGCATAACAAGGCCCAATAAAACGTCCATCGACCTGCTGATCAAGCTAATATTTGCAGTGAGCGTAATCGAGGACGGCCAAAAGTGTCATGTCGGGAATTTTTCCCCTTTTGGCGGGTGTAGACCAAAACCAAATACGGTAAAATGAGTATACTGAAAGGTATTGACGTTGGAAACAAACGAGTACAACTGACAAGCTTTGCTTACGAATGCGGGAGTTAAGACGACTGAGAGGTCTTTCAGGTCAGTGTTAAAGAGCATTGTGCAATGGTGCAAAGCGACGGCAGAGGAGAAGCGAGACGCGGAGCCGGAAAATTTCAGTGCTCCCTCTGGGACCTTGAGGAAGGAAATGTGGCAAAGGTTAGAAGGCTGGAAGGATAAGTGGTATCCCTAGTTTCGAAGAGGTTGGTAGGATCATTTAAGAACATGCAGGCAAAGGAGCAGGGGGCTAATTGAAAAGCGTTATGGCAGCCAGCGACTCGGTTCACTCGATTTTTTCGAAAAAAATTCATTTGCGTTGTGCAGCGTTGTCAAAATGAAAAAAAAACTGGTTTACGTCCAGGACCCGTGAAAACGGTAATGTAATATCAGAAGTTGCATTTCAATGAGTGACCAATACGCACTAGGGGTGAGTGACAACACGATGCAAGCAGAGAATCATCAAGGGACTGAAGATGGTGATGAATGCCGGAAATGCTAATCTTGATCGTGTAGCAAATACGTCCTATAGGTACCACACACCGGTGGGTCCACCGAATGGTACGCTTGCTTCTTCCAACGATGGAGTCGAGTGAAAACCTAATATTTTATTTTAGCGAGCGAGCGAGCGAGCGAGTCTACTTGTAAATCTGAAAACGTTCATCATCGTCCGTAAGTCATTTGCAATGTCTCTGCTTCATTATAACTGGAGGATATGCGGGTCTCCGCGAGAGGTCGACATTGAGCTGTAGCAACTAACGAGACGGGTATAATCTTTCCCAGAAACTGACCTTCCCAAGATAAATTATAACACAATATACAATAGAATAAAAAAGAAAAATAATAATAAAAAATATTGGTAGAATCGAATCCTGCCAACTTTTACAGCACAAATTAGCTCCACTTTTTCAGTATGTCGGCAAGGATAAATGTCAAAAGAATTTCAGAATTTAATCCTCATTTACCCACATAAAAGCAAGTTAATGAGAAAGATGTGCAATTATCACTAGGGAATCTCCCTTGTCGCATTCTCGGCGAACCCCCGCCTCCCCTCAACGAGTTCTACTTAGTCGTCTTTAAAAAGTCAGTGTATTAGGCAGACATGCTTTCGGCAATTCTTCATCAGGCCATTAATTTTGCAAAACAATGAAAGTTTGAACGTAAGCAAAGTTAATGGCCTGGGAAGAATTGCCCAAAAATATGTTTGCCTAATAAACTGACTTTTCAAATTAACCATGGCAATATTTACAGAACTTAATCATCTTTATATGCAGTTGAAGTAACAACTCCTTCCAGAGAGTCAGTTTGGATTCCGGAGAAGTGCGAACCTTCCAGAGTTATCTTTTCGGTGCAACAATTGCAAAAAACATGCCAGGGAAAAGAATTGGTCTTTACATTGTCGTCGCAGACCTAAAAGATATCCTTGACACTGTACGCAGGCGAACTTCCGGAAAATAATGAAATCCGGACATACAGAGCGTTCACTCCAACGGTCAGGCAGTTTCGTGACGACATTATTGGACGTGTCACACACAGGTGGTGCACAGTACAGGTGACAAATAAAGTGAGGGAGGGTTTTGTACTCAGTCTAACTCCTTTCGACCAAATCCCCCATAATTATCATGGATTCCTCTAGGAAAGACTAACCAGAACCGGCGGAAAGATACACAGCATGTGCCGTTTGCAAACCACCATCAGGCCGCAATACAGGGCCACCTTGCCACGACTGTGTACTGAACAGCGCCAGTAAAGTGCACGTGCAGAACAGTATGGACCTTCCTGCTTCCGAATGCGCCGATTTCGGACAAATCAACGGCACACAGAAAACAGCTGCTATGCGCCGACAGGATGGCAACCACCAACGACAATCGTCTTGCAAAGATAGAAGATGCCGTTACGTGGGAATCGCCACTTAAAGAAATATCCAATTCGGCAAGATTGTCGTCCAAATCCCCAAAGTCAGCCAGACGGTTGGTAGGCCACAGCATTTGGCATGGAAAAGTTGCACCAAAAGCAGCAGATACTAGTCCGTCAGTTTGATAACACTACCCTCTGACTCAGAGACCTGGGTAAAGTGCCAAAGTAAATTTATAAAGCTAAATCACTTCTATCTAGGGCGTTTTTAAAGGATACAAAAAAGGTAAAACGGCATGAACGGAGTCCTGAGGTAGCCAGACATTTTGAGTATCCGTGTCATACTGATGCAAATTCCCATACGATGGAAGGACTGTTTTGCAAAAATACATGACGAGCAGATTTCGAGAGCAATGTTTCATGGAGATTTCACCATGTGTGCTTGCAAGGTAGGGAGAAAACACGCCATAAGAATATGCTAAACACATCACCAAAGTGTCTCCAATACAACAAGAAGACATGGGAAATGAGTGCAAAGGCCAGACAAGTATAACTAACAGCCGGTGAAAGTGCATCGATCATTTGAAGCCAAAGAAGCGGAAACGCTAAGACAGAACGATGAGCACACAAGACTTGAAGGCCACGCAAAATATCAATGCGCAGACCCTATTAATGTGCCCTCATTATTCATGACCATCTAGTGGTCCAAATAGGCTTTGTTGGACAAAGTTGGAGCCACCAGAATATCAACACGATCAACTTACTCCCCTGCACAATAAAATGCAACTCCCAGGGAAGACAGTTCTCGCAAGCGCTGTCACTACAGCAATAACTCTCCACCCTGGTTCGAAATTATCGGAACTCTCGCATATAGCGATGTGTGAGCCGCACCAGGACACATGGGGTAACCACCGGTAGTGTTGACTCGATAAAAATGTGGTTGCAATCAAACATCGGCCCGGTCGGATACCCTTCGAGTCTATCGCAAAACGACAGGAGAACCAGTGATCAACATTCGCCACATACCCTTCCCCTAAACACAATCTTGTGAACTTACTCACCCATATGCTTAGAGGTGACAAGGATTACTGAAATGTCACCCATCATTTGTGCGCACGCCGTCCCTCCCACGCGTTTAGTCACCACACGGACATCTGTTCGGCCATGTACGCGCAGGCAGTAAATTCCCCCAACCCTAGTGCACCAATCACAATGTCCATCGACGACAGGCAGGCGTCGAGAGGCCGAGGCTCGACGTCGCGTTAGTCAGCCAATCCTAGCACTAGTTGACTGAAAAGTTGGGACTGGCAGCTGATGATGCATGGGCGAGGGAAGAGAGAAATCACGGTCAACCTAGAGGTATCCCTCTTAGTAGCAACAAAGCACACTTCACACTGTAGTAAATCGGAGGTATTTCAACTCAAAAGCTGGTACACTGCAAATTTTGCCTGGGGCGTTGCCAGCCGAGAGGACTAACTTGGTCCCCTTCTTCGAAACCAAAGCCAGACTGTAATGACTCCTTAATGCGGTCCCTATAGTATCTCTTGAATATGAGACGTTCATCGACGACTTCGCGCCTTATGCCAATAAATGCGTCTAATAACGTCCCCAGGAAGTTTCTTTCAGACAAGCTATTCGTGTATGGAGCGGGTCGATCCAGTTTAGATGTAGGGTTTATCTGGCTCGTTATAAACGGCAAAACATATTCCGAAGCTGTCGTAACGAACCCATGCGAACTAATGGGAGCAGTCCGGGTTTGCTTTGCTGTAAACAAAATTGTGTGCCAGTCATCACTGTACCGTATGCGAACACGCCCAGGGCTACAGCTTACAGAGGATGGGGCTGTTAGGCAGCGACGTTAGAAAATAAATCTCCTGCTCCGGGGACTGTGTATCTTCTTCCTTACTACCTGGGAAGCGCATTCTCGTAACTATTGACCGAATAATTCGAACATTATAAACCAAATAGAGTGATTTTGAAGTGGAAAAAATGCTGCCGCAAACGCTGGCTTCTCGATCAAAAGAGGCTACACCGAAGCATTACTGACGTTAATGTAGGAATTGCAAAATTACGGTAAATCT